CCGTGGCTGTGCTGGCGTCCCCAGCCCAGGAGAGGCCGTGTGGAGGTGGCACTTGGGGACAGGGGCTGGCGGTGCCCTGGGCAGGGCTGAGGGCACGGCTGCACTCGATGGTTTTAGGGGGATTTTCCAGCCTGAATGACTCTGTGGCTGACAGACAAAGCAAGGGCCTGCGATGCTGTGAGGGGCCAGGCACTGGAGGTGCATTGGGGTGCCAGGGGGTGAAGAGGAACTGCTTTACAAACAGGTGTTGGGCTGTAAGCCTGGATTGCTGTTACAAACAAGGTGCAAGGTTATAAATTTACGCATATCTCCTTTCCAAACCACAGTTTGAAAGCTCAGCCTGATGTTGCAACGTTTATTTTTTGCTGATTTATTGAGGGGGCAGGTCAGTGCCTGGCTGAGTCCATCCCATCTCTGCACAGCTGAGCACACCCAGGCAATCCTGGCTCTGATTGTCCGTGTCGTGGAGCACAGGGATGCAGGGAACGCTGGCTCTGAGCAGGGGCACACGCTGCCTGCTGCTCTTCCCATTCCAGTTTTAACCCTGGTTTTAGCCTGCTTAACCTTGCACTCATGTTTTTCTGAAACACCAGCAGCCTGGACTGCATGGGAATGCAGGGGGTGGGAAGCAGGGCATGCTGCATGGCTCTTGGTACACTGCGTGCAGGAAAAGCAGCAATGTGACATTTCATCCTTGTATGACTACAGAATGGTTTGGGTTGGGGAAGTGGCTTAAAATTGTCTCATTCCTCCCACATGCCATGGGACACCTTCCACTAGACCAGGTGCTCCAAGCTCCATTCAACCTTATTGAATGAAATAAATAAGGAGGGAAAGGACTAAACGGAATGTTTGCTTTAGAAAGCTGTGAGTGGTGGGGAGCAGGTGCTGCACAGCAAGGCAGCAGTGCTGGTGCTGCTGTGGGCTCTGGAGAGCACTGGCAGTGCAGGGCTGGTGCTGGGTGAGGTATGAAGGGTAAGCACTGCGTGGGATGGGTCTGGATTTTAGCATCCTTGTGCTCCATTTGGCACCCATCCCCTGTCTGACAGAGGCCTTGTGCTGTCCCTTTGACTGAAAGGGCTCTGACAAAATTGGCATAGGGGCATTTCTGTATTGCAGCTGGCGCTGCACGGTTCCTTTGGGTACATCACTTTATGATTTCCTCCATCTGGGAGTGCTGTGGGTTCAGCGAGGTTGCTGGGGTGGTTCACTGGAGGGCAGGGGAGTGGCTCTGCCATGAGATGAGACCTGGGTCTTTCAAGGTTAAGCACTGTGAGCTCCTGCCCTAAGCCAAGGGCGACCTCGGGGCAGGAGCAGAGCCCCGGCTGTCGCTGCGCAGCCACGCTTCCACCTGGAGACCAGCCTGGAAGGAGAGTGGGAAACCTTCCTTAAGTGCAGCAAAATGAAACAGCAGTTTTGTGGTGGTTCCAGTCTGGCCTCCTCTTCCTCCGTGCTGTTTGCCCATGCCAGAGCTGTCCTGGGGGCTCCTGTTCTCCTGGGAGGGACAGGGCAGGAGAGGGCTTTGTCCTGCATGCCCCATCATCAGCTGTGCCTTATCTTCCCATGCCACCTGAGATCTGCCTTCTTTACCCGTGTTCTACCTCTCAGCCCCTCACAAAAGACCTGAGCTGTGCAAAACAGGACGTGGGTTTGCTGCTCTGCACCCAGCCCGGCGTGTCCACGTGTCACTGCTGGGACCCAGGCCACCCTCACCTGGGCCAGAGTGGGCTCACCTGTGCCCTGGCCAGCACCTGGCACTGCAGGGTGGGTGGAGTGGCCATGGAGCTGTGTTCTCTCTCGGTTTTGTGGGAGTGGGGTCAGGAACGTTGGGCTTTAACTGGCTGTTGTGCTGCAGAAGTGCCGAGGACAGGGAGCAGGGATGGATTTTTAGAATACTTGAATAATTTGGAGGTGGCAGAACTTAAAAGTCTGAAAGTCTGACTAAGGGCCAATCTTCATTTGTGTTTGGGCAGGTGGCACATGGCTCAGCTCTCAGCTTTCTGTGATGTTCCTGCTCTGCTCCTCCAAAGGAGAGCACGAGGCTGTGCCGTTTTCCCGCTAGTAGAATTTAGCCGGAGAAATCGCCTACATTTTAATGCGAAAAGGTAAAACCGCTGTGTCGCAGGCTCTGCTCGAGCTCCTGCCTTGCCNGTGGGCTGGAGCTGCACCCAGAGCAGGTGGAACTCTGCATAACCTTGTGTGTACCCTTCAGAAACATCCCAAAGTGTTCATTTGGTGAGGTGAACAGCAAAGTAACCAAATCCTGGGCTTTGTCATGCTTTTCTCACATTTGCTATTGCAGTTCCATTTCAGAGCTCAGTCCCCCAGTGCTGTGGCAGCTCAGTTGGAGAAGCTGTGAACCTCTGGTTTGGATAATGTCCCTCCTGTTCCTCATCCTTGGCGTGCCTGGTGGCCCTGCAGTTCCAAAGTGTCGCTAATTTCAGAATTCAGCCTCCAACATGTGCTCCTGCTGGTGCACATCTGTGCATTCACAGAGCCAGAGACATGTTTGAGCAAACAGTTCCAAGCCCCTTCTTGCTGCAAACATTTCCCAAATGGTCCCTTTCCTGTTCGTGGTATTTCGGGTGGCCATTCCCCTTCCAAGTGACTGCCTTGGGCTTCAATTTTATCAACTACTTTTTAAAATTTACTGCTTTAACTGTGTGTGAGATTCCTGCTGATTGTCCCTCAGGTTCTTCTCTGCTTTCTCTGTTCCCCCAGGATGGCAAATCCAATTCCAGCGAGCTGCTGCTGGATCCAGAGTTCAGGAATTTTGCTTGTTTTTGTAAAATGGGAAACTGTATGAGAACCAGAGCTAGATGGACAGTGAGAAGGTGGCAGTGGGAGGTGTGAGCTAGATGAAATCCTTGTTATATGTTCAGGTTCCCTAAATGACTTTGAACCACAAGTTTAATGAGAGGAGAAGCTCAGTGAGTGTTTGGGAGCGTTCAGTCCTGGCCCTGTGTGTGCTCACTGGGGGTTTCTCTCCTCACCTGGCAGAGCAGCCGCTGTGCTGGTGCAGAGCTGGTTCTGCACTCCCAGGAGCAGCTCTCAGCTGCTGCTTCACCCGGAACAACAGGAGTGGAAAGCAAAAGTGCTGCTGCCTTCCTGCCAAACAGTAAAGCTGCATGTTTAAAAGCAAGATTTCAGTCTGAAGGCATCAAAGCAAAACACTGACTTATTTGAGAACCCCCATTGTCTTATCCTGATAATAATGTTCTTTTTAGACAGAGTTGGAAGATGTTTTATTGGCTGCTTTAATGTCTACATGAACACAGTGTGTTTCTGGAGCTGCTGCTTTGTCTTGTGTTCAGAAATACTGCATGTGCCATACTTCTGCTTAGTAAAGTTTCAGAGAATTGCTTTTTTCAGTTCAGGGTATGAATGCATTGTCAAATAAGACATTTGCTTCCATTTACACAACTTGCAATTTGGTAATAAGCAACAGACGAAAGAGCAGTGTCCAAATTCTCTTGTATAAAATTTCTGGTGGATGCCATCCCTCCATTCCACAGAAACAGTCCAGCCTGCAGTCCTGTGAGTAGCATTGAAAGTACAGATACCAACAAAGAAGAAAGTGGGGCTGCACTGCCGCCCGGCGGCCTCTCCGAAAAGCTTCCTTCGCATGGGAGCCCAGCGCTGCAGTGGGCACTGCG